CTGTTGAATTCTATTTCTATTTAGACTTACAAATCTTCCACTTGTAATAAACGCTGACTGAATGCCACGATAGATACTGAAATGTCTAATATATCTCTAACAACCTTCTGTAAAGTCGGATATTTTATTGAACTTGCTTTCTACTATGTCAATAAATCAAAACCATTCGCCCTGACAATACTAGCTCGTTTAGACAAACATCAAACACTATTTTTACATGATCAGCGGTAACAGAATGAATAACAAATTTATCAAAACCAGCTATTTGAGAATGCTTTCCAACAAAAAAAATCTATACGCCAAAAAAAAATCAAGATAGAGAAAGTAAAGGTGTAGGGGAATATGGAATAATTTCTTCTTTCAACAAGTATGCATTGGGAAGAATCACAAAGTAAAAATTAATTTTCATAAAGCAGTACTATACACATTGACCCAGGAAGTAAAAAAGGAAGGCAAACTTTGAATCCATTCGTTTAGGGTGTAGAAAACATATTCCTTGCAAATGCCAGAATTTTCTCCCCATTTCAAATCCAAGTTTAAATAGCTTGCGACACACCTCAAAAATCCAATAGCTAGTGTAATAAATTCTATCAACTCGAAACCTATAGGGTATAACTTAACATGTGCTCAATAAAACTCATAGTTAATCTCACTCATCATCTAGGAAAATGCAAAAAGACGGCCATATTTCTAATTAAACACAAAAAAACCCTAAGGGTGCGTTTGATTGCAAGGGTGGAACATGGGTGGAAAGAAAATGTTTTACAGGGAAAAGATTTGCCAAAAAAATGTTTTGTAGGGAAAATGATTTCAAGTGTGTTTGATTGGTATAATTTTCCACCCGGAAAATTTTTAAATTTTCTATTCGTTTGGCTTTGTTTTACATGGAAATTGTCCATTAAAGTGATATTTTTTTCCACAACTGGTCANTTTACATGGAAATTGTCCATTAAAGTGAATTTTTTTTTTTTTACAATTGATTATGATATTTATTTCCATTTCAAAAAAAAAAAAAAATTTGCTTCAACCGGTTGGGAAAATATTTTCAAAGAAAACCAAGAAAATACTGACGTGACGGGTGGGGAGGGAAAATATTTTTCGGGGAAAATTTGGACTATCAAACAGCACAAAAGATGGAAAACGGAAAATATTTTCCTACTTTTTTGGAAAATTTCTCCAATCAAACGCGCCCTAACATAAAAATAAACCGACAATCATAAAAAGATCTTAGATTGTTTGATTCTCATGTTAAAACCTACAGTTTTCAGTAACCATAACATATATCAACATATTGGCGCATTTCGAATGCGAAATCTCCAAAATCTAATAGAAAAAAAATGTTAGGTAACTAGTTCTTACCTCCGGTGAGAACACAACAGGTAAGGAAAATGATTTTCCGGTGGTTTGGAGGCAAAAATCTGTTAGCACCGATTTTGGAATCGCAGAGAGATGCGATGGAATCAGGAATCGGCAGTCGGCTGCTTTGAAATGAGGATTTCCAATTTTCAGTTTTAGCCCCCGTTTGTTTATCATTTTTCATCCATAAAAATGAAAAATATTACCGTTATCCATCACATCAATCCATCAATTTTGAATTTCTATCTCTTGTGTGGGGCCCAATAACGGCTACATTTTTCATTCTCATTCTACGATAATGAGAATCAAACGGGCTCTTAACGTGGTGACTGGTGAATGATTTGATTATTGATATGTGGGTTAGAGTATAAATGAATTGGGTTGAGCTTGTGGGTAATGGGCTCAATTTTTTAATTGGGCTTGTCCAAAAAAAAAAACTAAAATCATCCAATTAAATATATTTTTTTAGCGGGTAATCAGTTCGGGGCGGGGCACCGTTGTTAAATACCATACCCGTCCCAGCACGATTCGGGTCATTAAAATCAAAACCATAACCACTCCATTGCACCATTGGTTCGGTTTTTTCACCCCATTCGGTTCGGTTAACCACGATTTTCGATTTTCACAATTCGAATTGCCATCCCTAGTCAAAATCCCAATGGACAGAGATATCCAATTTTATCACTCAGAAAAAGGTAAAACTCAACGACATGCATTCAATCACGAGTAAAGCCAATGATGATTAATTTTAGTTTGACGTTCTACTGTACAAGTCAAGGTTTGAATTCGCCGTGTACATAAAAGAAAGGAAAGAACAATATATGGGCGTTGGTGGTCATTGATGTCATTTTAGTTTCGTACCAAAAATTCTGCAGAGACACAACGTAGTTACTCTTACTAAAATAAGCTAAAGATAAAAAGACACGCATACCCTTCCATTTATAAAGAAAATTTCTCACAATAATCCAATTCAACTTTAGAGTGTGTTTGGTAGAGATTAAAATTAAAAAAACTAACCGTTATTGTTGACTTTTATTAAACGAGTGAGATCCAATAACGGCTATATTTTCAATTTTAATTGGATTTTAATCCGAACCGAACACGCTATACAAAGCAACGGCTCTTTCATTCTTCATCGAATTTTCACCTACAACACTAAATCTATCCTATTCAACCCACCACCACTCATCCCTTCTCTTCTACTTCACTATTGCCACCAAAGAAGAGGAATCAGAGTGAGTTTACATTTTTATCCTCTAGAAAATTAGTCCGAGTTCGCCATGGTTTATTATGTCATTAACTATTCCAAACTTCATATTGGGAAGGTTACCTTAAAATTTTCAAGAATCAAATGAACATAAATCGTTTGATGTTATGCTCATGCGAAATTGTTCTAATCGTAGTTTGTAGAATACAACATGATGATATGCTTGGATGGAAACATGCAAGTTTTTTGACAACATAGATCACCTATTTGATTTGCCAAATAAGTACTACGTCGTAATGGACTAATTTTGTGAGAAGGCATGAAGTCACTTCAAGATTGAGCATTAAAGTGGGGTACGATGGTGGTGGAAGAATTTGGCCGAAAATTTTCTTTTTCTTCAAATAAGAATGTTACTCCCAATTTGGTTGCAATTCCTTCGTTGTAGGCTATGGAATGATGTGAAAATTAACAATATAAAGGGGTGGGAGAGAGAGATTCTAGCTACGTTAGGGATGGAGGTGGCACGTGACGTGGTCATGGGTGGGTGTTGTAGGTAGGCTTGAGTTGGATTATGTTGGATTGGAGAAGGTAGGGGTGAGGTGAAAGATGAAGAAATAATTTTGAAAAAATCTGCTTGTACAGAAAAAATCCATCAGAAAATGAACAGATAATCACTTGGGGTGTGGGCCTCATGTGAATTAAATATTACAAAAAAAAAATGGGCCCCACCTTTTGTATGTTTTCTGTGGGCTTTTTATTCTGTACGTGTAGGCTTTCTCAATAATTTTTTGGATATAAATCGTCCAAAGATCGTTCAGTCGCACGATTTTAAAAATTTTGGGTTCATTGCTATAATTTAAAGGTTCTGGCGTAATCTACGCACTTTTCAAAAGGTTTGGGGACCTCCATTGCAATTATTCCCTCAGAAAGTAACAGGGAAGAGTCCACTAAAAACTCAATTCAAACAGAAGTCCCACAATTCAATCTGCTACAAACCCTAGAGAGAGGGAATGGAGAAAGAAGGGGAGCAATCGAATGCGTCGAAGAAGAGGGTGGTGGTGGAGTCATTGGGATGGATAACGGAATCCTCAATCATGCCTAGAAAGCATCGGGCTATCGAGGGAGTCGGGCCATCCTCAATCCTCGAGCTCAAGGCGCAACTCTACAAGTCACAAGAAGAATCTAAGCGCCAATCCAAAGAGCCCATCCACTCCGCAGATAATCAGTACGGTCACCATCTTGAGGTCCACCGCGCCAGGAAGAAAATCTCCGCTCACGATCCCTTCTCGCAAAAGAACTCCGGCGTAGATGCCCGTTCATCCAAGTACGTAAAATTATATTTATACCCATGTCAATTTGGATATCACTGCAATGAGTAATTTATTATTTGATTGGAATTTACGAGTATGTGTATGGATGGATGATAATTATGTGCTATATGGGATTATGTAAGATTGCATGTCAGGGTTCTAGAGTTTATTGTTCGTGTTCGTGAGTTTCAAGGTAAAAAGAATTGAAGCAAATAGGATGAAGCTAATTATTTTACTTAGATTCTTCAACCCTAGAAGGCGTATATTTATTGCCCAACTGTATCTTTTTTTTTTTTAAACGTTAGTTCTTTGATTGTAGTTCCTAGAGTCACTTTGTGGATGTTAAAAGCAGTTTTTGAAATGGATTTTGATTGTATAAATTACTGAAGCTACGTATACTACACTTCACTAATGGAAGCAACGAGGTCTTGGATTTACTAGCTTGGTGGATTTGGAATCTTAATTCCTAACAAATCCCAAAACCCCAGCCCCCATCCTGGGGGGTGGGTGGGTGGGTGGAGGGGGGGGGGTGGAATTGAACCTCATGTGGCATGTCATCACTGTACAATTGAGGTCTCAATGTTTACTATTGAAACCAAACATTCTTTGGTTAAATGTAGTGTTTTACTTGCATGTCCAGGAAAAAGAGGAGGAGAAAAGTCTGCACATAATTATCTGTATGTTGGTTTAATTGGATTGCTGGTGCCGAAATTAGATGAATAATGGCTATTTGGTCTGTTTCAGAGACAAGCTCGAGCTAAAAGCTGTCAACGACGGGTCAGCAAGTTATGCAGCTTTAGAGAGAAAAGCAGAGTTATACAATAAGCTGGTGAGGGGCGAGCTTTCCGATGAAGAAGAAAATGAGAAGTACTGTGTTGATTTTTTCCGAAAGGGTATTGAACATGATGAGCCCCAATTGCCTCGAGAACATGATACTGATACGCATGAAGCTCGAAATGAAACTGGTGACTATGATGATATTCTGCCCAATACGAAACCCACAGGGCTTGGCCTGGCAGATGCTACCGTAGACAGGAGTGAACATAAGCGATTTGTGATGTAAGTTCTCTTCCCTAGGTATTTTATGTGCTGTCTGTTGCATGAATTTGCTGAGTTAGTTTTCCTTTTCTGTGTTTCCTTCCTTCTTATGTTGACGTTAAGCAGACTAATAATAAGTCATCTCCTGGAAAATTCATTGTATTTGATTATGAACACTTATTTCCAGGACAATTCTTCACCACTAGGTAGTATTATGTAATTTACATTATTAGGAGATGTTTTCCCTCAAGGATAACCAGTGCATATTATGCCTCATTGGACGATGACTATAAACTCCCCTTTCACTTATTTTTTAGGAGTTTCCTTATAGGATTGATTATTGGAGATGACCCCGGAGAGAGGGGAATGAAAAAAAATGCCCATATAGCCAACCCATATATGTAGGAATTTTACTTTGATAAGTTGTTTTGAAGACTATAAAAAGCTTTATAGTTTGTACGACTGCATGTTATTCCATGGAATTTTTAACCTACATACTGGTGAACCTTCAATCTAGACAAAAGGATAAATCATATTTACAGTATCCATAATGTGTGTTATTTTCTTACACAATGGTCAAGGTGTTGACATACATGTACCTGTAGGGGTTGCATTTTTTCTCTTCCTTGTGCTGTAGAATTATATGAAAGGTAAAAGAAGAAAAATATTTATCAGATTGAATCATTTGCTGATGCCAAATTTTCCTTGGAAAAATCATTTGCTTAACATCACATAGCTCTGTATCATCACTCAATTCCAAGTTCCGTAATAGTTTAAACCAGGATTATGATGTGAATTCTAGCACGAATAATACTCTTGAGGTCAAGGCAAAATGCTACTTCTGATGAGAAAGACGGGGAAAGTGTATGCAAATGCCTTTTTAGCATATGTTTTGAAATTTGAACTTTATCTTATGAAACAAAATTTATCCAATCATTCCTTCTCAGGGAAGTTCATGAAGAAGTAAATCAAGCAAGGGAAAACATGTCTCAACTCAAGATGCGCAGACAAGATCAGATTGCTGCTCGTCGAGAGAAATTAAAGCAGGCTTACCTCCGCAAGCAGCTCGAGAAATTGAAAGCATCCAAAACAGACCAATCCTGAGTGCAATGTGAATGTCGTTCAAAATTTTATTATAAGATCTCTTTAGTTTTATCAGCACATGCCTCTGAAATTCCCTTCTGTAAGTACTCTAATTACTATCATCAATGGAAGTGCCATATGGAATTTTTCTGCAGAAAGTTGAGTGTTAATCACACAATTGAGCCTCCTTTGAAACACAGTTTTGCCATGTTTGTTACGAAGGATGGGATAGTAGAGAAGAAGAAAAAGAAGTTTAAACTTTCTAATCTTATCTAGCACTATGTACACAATGTCAATAAACCGTGCATATGCACAGGAATCGTAGTGGGACAGCATGTGGAGTTGGAATGTATTGGATGTACACATGGAAAAGAAAACGTGTATTGTTTACTGCATACTTCGCATCCAGGAAGGGGAATAAACTGATTATTGATCAAGAATGGTACTGTATTATATTGATTTTTTTTTTTTCAAGTTTTATAAATTATGCTGATGGTTTTCGAGTTGTGCTGAATTGCTGGTTATATACCTTAGAACGCTAATCATATGCTTATCAATGGCGCACAACCTTAACCATGATTATTGTTTTAAACACAATACAATCTTACTATTCTTGAGGTTATATTATAATTTATGGAGAAGATTTAATTATGTATGATTTTTGGTTTTAGAAATGTCAAGAGAAAAACCAAAAATCATAAAGTGAAGGTCAAATAAGGGCTAAGTAATAAAGTTACTCATAACTTAACTGTACTTGCCTATTTTTAACCATAGTCATGAAATTTTAAAATTTACTTGAGGTACACAAACTTAAAATAAGACTATTTTTTGATAACTATCAGGCAATTTATAAGTTTTTTCAGACAAAATGAAACATTAATTTGAATCACATATTCGTAATTCCCAGTTTCCTACTTAGCCCATGTTTGGTAGGGATTAAAAGTAGATTTCTAATAGATTTTTATAAAAGTTGATGAAATATATAGTTGAAAAGTAGTGGGACCCATAAAATATGTTGTTGAAATCTCCAATTTTTTCAAATTCTTTTTTTAACATACTCATTTTTAACGACACATTCACACAATAAAATATTCTACACGTAAATTCAAAACTTTTCCTTATTTTTTAACCACACATTCTCCAAAATTCACTATTAAAAACAATGTTTTTTTCAATAAAATAGCTACCAAACAAGCGTTTAATTGTTAACTTTGACTAAAAATTAAATCTAAATTATTATCGATACCAAACGGGCTTATTATTCAGTTAGACAAACTACTCATTCTCCTTAATTCTTCTTATAAGTTACTTATAATTTCACCTAAACACAAACTAAATTCCTTTAAACATTATGATACTCACTTGTTATACAGTCAGAACTATAACTGGCAACCATGCACCAAAGCAGCAGCAACGTGTCTATAATCTATTTCTTATCCCCACAACCAGGTCCACCACTCTCCTCATCCTCCTCCACCTCCACCTCCACCTCCACCTCCTCCTCCTCCTTCCATATATCTTTTAAACTAAAAGATGACGACTCCCGCCGTATCAAGAACCTTCCTGTAGGTGGGACCTACAAGTTGAGCTTCCCCAGGGACCTTCCGGAGTCCCTCCAAACCTCCACCTTCAAGCACGGAATCAGATTATCTAGCGGCTTCGCCGCATCACCACCCTTTACCACGTCGCATAGCAAAACCCTAGCGCTCCCCACAAGCTTCTCCCATTGGACACGAGAGTGAGCATATATATATCCAACGCAGCGATGAAGTTATTTTCAAGCAACTCTTCGTGGAACTTTACCTTCACTACCTCGTTCCACGTCGGATTGGTTTTGCCGTGCTCGTTGTTGGGTTTTGATACCCAATAAACCTCGAACTATGATATAAACGTTGAATTAAATTGTTACCAATAATCCGTCCAAAGGCTCATCAGAAAACAACGTGGGACTGAGCTCGAAAATTACCTTTTTGACGATCCTTGGAGAAAGCTTCCGCTACAATTGGAATCAAAGCTTCAAAGTCGTGGATTTGACTTGAAAAACTGACAAAAAACCATCCAAAAAACTGGCTGAAACAAAGTGGAAAACAAATCGCAAAACTATCCAAAATTTGAGGTTGTTTTCGTGATTTTTGACCGATCTAGAAGGAGTTTGGTGAAACGGAGACAACAAGCATGATGTGCAAGTGGAGACACTCCTTGGTGGACCATGCGTGAGACCAGCGGCGGCGCGTGGCAACCACGCATAGAACTCCGATGAGAGCGTGAGGGCACATGCATAGGATTCTGGCGACGATGTTTTCAGGCAGTTTGTTGCTAACATCACTTCTGACATTTTGGTATTGTTCGTTTTCTGTTTCAGGTTATATAGCAAAGTTTAGATGACTTGTTCTTTGCGCATTCAGAATTCGATCCTGGTTGATTGATTCCTATGATTGCTGGAGACTTTAGGGCGAATAGTGGTTGCCTTAAAGTGGTAAATTCGCATATCTAGGTATTTACGAACCTTCAGATGTGATCTGCTTGGTATCTTGTTCTTTCCCTTTTATTATTGCAGTTACGGTTATTGTATAGGATAACAATTTTTTTTTCGTATTAGAATTCATCGTGTGGGATGACGTTAGGTTTAAGTTACTGTGAAGGGGTAATCACTGTCTGCTGCTAGTTCCAGGAATTACTTTTTAGTTATTTGCCTAGAATTTTTCGCGAATTTGTTGTCAATTATTTTTTCATTATTAGAATTACACGTGACCTTAGGAAAATTTATTTATATTTGCTCAAATCTACTCCGAACAAGTTTTACTTACTTGATCCTTTTTTTTAGTTTTAAAATGGAACTTTCAAAAGATCTTGATGAAAATTTAAATGTGTTTAACAAACTTATTCAGGATATTGTTAATTGTGAAATGCTATAGCTGTGGAAACATGGGGCATTTAATAAAAGAATGCTATAAAGAGAAGGGTAAGCTGAAAGGTAAAGAGAGATGAAGTAAATATGTTGTATTATGTTTCCAATGTTGATGATTGTGAAGTTTATATGATTACAAGTTCTGTTGCTTATCCTACTGAATTGAAAGTAACTATCAATTCTCGTTTGTAGGAGTGGGTACTTGATTCTAGTGCATTTTTCATGGACATCACAAAAGGACTTGTTTGAAAACTTGCATGAATTAAATGATGGGCATGTTGTGCTATATGAAAATTCAACTTATATTGTTGCTGGGATTAGTTATATTACTTTAAAGTTTGACACTGATTTTCTGCATACTTCAAAAGACGTTAGATACATTCTTAAACTGTCTAGGAATTTAATTTCAGGAGGAAGACTTGAGAAATCTTACTTCACTGGTAAAAGTGGAAATGAAGTTTTAATATTGGTTAATTATGCACTTGATTCCAACAAGGAAACCACGAAAAATGAAATTTATATCACTGTTGGAGAAGTGATAAGGGGTTTAAATTCCTCTATCTCTTCTTCCAAAGCTGATCACACACATAAATAACACAATAGACTAGCACATGTGGGCATTAAGGATCTTAAACTTCTTAATGAAAATGGTGTTTTTGGTAATGATTGCGTGTCTGATTTATCTTTCTGTGATCACCGCGTGCTTGGTAAGTATCATAGAACTTCTTTCTCCATGAGTGCTCATAAAATTAAAAACATGTTTAAATATGTGTATTCAGACTTGTGGGGTCCTACTAGTAATCCCACATCGGGTGAAAATAAGGATTTATTGTCTATTATTGATGATTACACGAGAAAAATGTGAGTTTATCTTTTAAAGGATAAGTTTGATACTTTCCACAAATTTAATAATTGGAAAGACAAGTTGAGAACCAAACTGGCAAGATGATTAAGTTTTTGAAAACTGATAATGACTTAGTTTTGTAGCACTGAATTTGAAATATGTGCAAAGAAAATAGAATAATAAGGTATAAGACTGTTCCTTACACTCTCCAGCAAAACGGGGTAACTGAAAGGATGAATAAAACCATACTTGATAAAATAAGTTGCGTGATGTTAAGTTCTGGTGACTCGAAGTCATTTTGGATTGAAGTTGTTATAACTGCTTATTATTTGATTAATTTGACTCCATTTGCTGTATTGAATGGTGATACTTCTCCATGAAAAATGGCTTGGCAAACTAAGTGATTGTTCTGTGCTTAGAACTATTGGATGTGTTGCATTTTCTCATTAGGGTGTCAAGGGTTACATGTTATGGGATATAAGCCAAAATGGGGGTGAAGATCATTATGAGTAGAGATGTTACATTCAATGTGGGTGAAATGTCGTGCTTTAAACTTAATTTGAACCTATGAGTGATGAAGAACAAGGTGAAGAGAGAGATCAATTGAAGGTAGAGTTAGGAAAACTTAGCAAATAAGTCCCTGCTGCTCCTAATGAGGTGGAGACTCATGTTCAGCAACCTGAGGTGGAGAATAGAGAAGAAATAGTGATAAAAGAGCTTCCTGAGGAAAAGAATCCCTTAATAAATTATAACTTAGCTAGGAATAGAGAGAGGGAGGACAGTTGAGAGCACCTAGAAGATTTGGATATGAGTCCGAGTTAGCTTTTGCTCATGCTAGTTATAAGGAGCTAGTGGATTGAGAGTCAAAAACTTTTGAGGAGGTGATGAAGAGTGTTTTAAGGCAATGAAAGAGAAGATGAGTTCCTTAAAAAATAATCAAACCTGTGAACAAGTACATAGACCTAAGAATATCTACAGTTGCCTGTAAGTAGGTTTTCAAGATTAAGGAGGGTACTAGTGCATCTGAACCTTTAAAATTTAAGGTTAGATTAGTGGCCAAGGGGTACACACAGAAGGAAGGTGTTGATTATAGTGAGATTTTTTTACCACTTGTTAAATACACCACTATTAGGGTCATTTTTGCAGTGGTTGCACATTTTGACTGGGAACTTGAACAAATTAATGTAAAATTTACTTTTTAAATGGTGAACTTGATGAACTAATCTTTATAGATCAACCAAAAGGTTTTAAAGATAAACTAAAACCCGATCTTGCGTGCTTCTTGAAAATGTCTTTATATGGTTTAAAACAATCACCTAGTCAGTTGTATAAAAGAATTGATTCTTTTATACTAACTATAGGGTTTCAAAGGAGTAAGTTTGATCATTGCTTATATTTCCAATATGACGATTTTATTGCTATTTGTGGATGATATACTCTTAGTTGGTTCATCACGTAAGTGGATAAGCAAGATAAATAAAGTTGAATGATGAATTTGACATTAAAGATCTAGGTAAAGCTAAGGGAATCCTATATATGGAAATTAAAAGAGATATGTCAAATTCTGCTTTGTTTTTGTCTCAGTCCTCTTATGTTTCAAATGTGTTTAAAAGATTTCACATGCATGACTGCAAACCTGCTACATTACACTTAGCTAATCATTTTTGTATTATCTAAAGATCAGACTCATTGCAATGAAAAAGAAATAGAATACATGAGTATGATTCTATACTCTAGTGTGATTGAATCTATTATGTATTTAAAGGTTTGCACTAGACTAGATTTAGCTTTTACCATTAGTACTCTTAATAGGTACATGTCTAATCCGGGTCCCGAGCATAGGGAATCCTTAAAATGGATATTAAAGTATTTAAAGGGGACTAGTTATGTAGGTCTAAAGTTTGGTGCTAATAAAGAAGGTGTGAAATTGAAGGGTTTTGTAGATGCTGACTATATGGGGAATAGGAATGATGGAAAATATACTTCTTCCTATGTGTTTACTTTGTCTAACTCTTGCATTAGTTGAAAATCACAATTACAACACATAGTTGCACTATCCATGACATAATCAAAATATATTGCTACTATTGAAGCAAATAAAGAGGTGCTGTGGTTTAGAAGTTTTCTTCATGAACTGTGTTTTAAATGATTGTGTAGTAATATATTCAAATAGTCAATCTTCTATACATCTATGCAAAAATTCTGTTTTCCACGAACACACCAAAACACATTGATGTTAGATTACACTTTATTAGAGATATTTTATCACAAGAAGTGGTATGACTTGAAAAAGTCCAAATACAATATAACCCATTGGACATGGGCAGTAAAGTGTTGCCATTGGAGAAGTTTAGAAGTTGCAAGGATCTTCTAAACATCGGTGGAGGTAAATGGTTTCCAATTTTATTGGTTCTCCTTTTCTGGATTATTACTAATGCGTAGTAACTTTCTTTGCAGGTCCTTTTAACACATTGATGTTAGATTACATTTCATTAGAGATATTGTATCACAAGAAGTGGTATGACTTGAAAAAGTCCAAATACAATATAACCAATTGGACATGGGCAGTAAAGTGTTGCCATTGGAGAAGTTTAGAAGTTGCAAGGATCTTCTAAATATCAGTGGAGGTAAATAATTTCAATTTTATTGGTTCTCATTTTGGAATTGTCAATAATTAGTTATAATGTTTTATTTGCAGGTTCTTTGACACCAATGTAGAGGTTTGTTGGGCAAATTATTGTCAAACGACCTTCCAGATTATAATGTTAAACCGGTAAAATTTATTCAGTCGATATCGGCCAAATGACTGAACGAAATATCGACATCTCAATGAAAACGACCCAACTTTAAAACCAAGTGAGCCATTGGAAGCAGCTTAATTTAGTTAGTATTGCTCATGGTCCATTTTCTCTCTTATTGGATGGTTTATAAGCTAGGCTCGCTTAGTTATACCTAGCCCACTTGTTTACCTACAGTGGACTTGGCCCATTACTGTAATCTAATGTTCCTATTATATATGATAACCTCGCCTTTTGCTTGGGTTGACTGTGTATTGTTGAGCTTCTTCTCCTTTTGTGAAAATTGGCTGCTTCTCTATGTGATTTGCACCTCTCGTTTATCTTCATCCTCTTCTGCCTTCGTGGCTGCCTTTCTAGTTGTGCTAATACTCTGGTGTGTGTTCTTTGTGAGCAAATTATAGCAACCGAAGATGAGGATTGGATTGGATTGGATTGGAGGCTACTTGGGTTGTGGTTGTTTATTGAGATTGTCAATTGAAGGTTTGGAAACTAAGCCCGAAGCAACCATTGGTGCCAAGTCTTTTGCTACAAGTTTTCTTCATCTCAAATTCTCTCTAAAGACCCTTTTTTGTATCCTCCCTTTTCAAACACTCAAATTAGACTCATTTATTTCTTAGGAGAAAAATATTCTCGAAATACTTGAGAAGAATATGTACAATAATGTAGGGAAGAAAAATGGTTGTATGTTTGAGCACCATCACCAGCACCTGGAATGGAGAGTTTGGAGCGCCTAGAGATGGCAAACGGGGTCGAGCGGCTCGTCGGCTCGTGAAACGACGAGCCGTGAGCCCGAACCGAGCCGCAAGTGAGCTCGACGAGCCGAGCAAAGCGGCTCGTGAAAAATTAAAGAAAAATTTAAAAAAAGTGAAAAAGTAAAAAAAAAAAATTCAAAAAGCTCGTGGGTTCGCGGCTCGACGAGCAAACGAGCAACAAGCCGGCTCGGCCCATTGCCATGACTAGGAGCGCCACTATACGTTCCTGCTGCAATGGCTATTTGGTGATAAATCCTTTCACCAAGCAAGGCTTTTAAACAAGATAAATAAATACCATTTCACATTTGATTAAGATGACATCATTACCTCTCCCACGACCTATCTTATAAAGACACGTGGCAAGGCTGATATAAGGACGTCATGGCCAACCAAACAAAGATTAGCAATAATGGGAATAACTACAGTTATCCCAAATAGTCATGATTACCTGGGAGGTCGACCTCTTTGTCCACTTAAATTTGTCTAAACTAAGTGAAATGGCATACTTATTTAGGTGAATTACTGTAGATGACGCAAGGTGGGCAATCTAGTTACTGCGATGACTTGATTGAGGCGGCCAATTTGCCCAATTTAGGTTATAAATGGAGATCAATGGTCCTCTCCGTGTACTACATATTTGAATACTTTCCACTTTTGTATTCCCTTACAATTCAACAATCAATAACACTGTTTTTTTTTTTACTATTCCAATTAATTATCTCAATCAAAATTTCCTTTAAATTGATCAAAATTGGCCACGTCGGTTTTCAACGTCAACAAGTGTCATTGAGAATACTGAAATCGGAAAAACACACATAAGCGAATCATAGAATCAACAAGAAAAGATAACACAAAAATATAAAATTTGAAGATAAATTTATATTGCATTAGCTATGAATAGGCTGGAATTATCAAACAGAGATGTTCAATATCGTTTGATGAAATATTATACCACAATTCTTCTTTCTTTTTATTGAATAATTTCTATTTGTTTTAAACTGTTGAACTTGAAATCAAGAAAAGTGAATATTGGGCTAAGAATTCATGCATCAACTGCGGACATGGGCTACAGGTTAATGTGCAATTAGCTTGGGGCTAAGTGAACTGTATTTGATTTGACGTGGACTATAAAATAAAAATTATTTTTTTGAGTTTTTCTATTTGTACATTGGAGTTGAACACCCTCACAATAGGGAGCTCGCGCCCAATAAAAAAGAATCATGGACTCCACTATTATGAGGGGGCTACAACCTCGATGTATAAGTAGCAAAATCTATGTCCGATTATAACGTGTAATATCATCATGGAAATAATATGTTTGATTTGTTGTTTTCAAATATTTTATTTTTAGTTTTACAAAATATTCAAAATTTAATCTGATATATTTGAAAATATATTTTGAAAACCAAATTAAACTTATAACACAAAATTCAAAATATATTTTTGACGTTTTGAGTATTTTTAGTGAAAACACTAAAAACATGAAAAATAATTTAAAATTCTGAAAAATAAAAGATATATAATTCTAATTTTTTTTTCCAAATTCTATAATTCTAAAATAATAAAATTCTGAAAAATAAAATCTAAAATTGTAAAAAATAAAAATTCTAAATAAATAAAATATAAAAATAGTTAAAGTTCTTATTGGTTCTTTAAATAAAAATTCTAAATGAATATATAAATGAAGACAAACAAAAATCTTAGTCCACATCATTAATTTTTATTATTTTTAATTTGCTTAATTTATTATTTATTTTTATTTAACTTTTGTAACGGAAAAAAATATTGTATGATTCACAAACTTTAAAATGTACATATTTTTTTGATAATAAACTAACATAAATTTGATCTATTTTATTGAATAATTAAATGGAATGGAACGGAATGGAATATCATAAAACAATTTATCGAAATTTCAAATCAAATGTATTTTCCAATTTTCAATTTTGAAAAATATTTAATTCAGAATAACAAACCAATCATGTTTTCATCCGTCTTAAACGCACTCTCAAAATAGAAAACTAAAAACTTGAAGTCAAACCAAAGGGGCCCTAACTTATCCATATTTTGATACTGTTATTATCTTTAAAGTGTGGAGCTATGTCTCAATTATACTTGAAGATGCATATTTTGAGAATTGTTAAACAATCATCTACGTTCTTCAACTTGACATGTTTTCTTTACAAAACCAACTGAAGGCTAGACGCAGATCAGTCCTAATGCAAAAGCAGAAGAGTATAACAAAAAAAAAAATTGTTTCCTCTGGTGATGGAAACAATGCTTCATCTTCGTATATGCTTATGCAACTTCTGTTTGTCCAGCTCAAATGAAGACGGCAAACACGACAATTTTCTGAATATTTTCCATCTGCAATGCTCGAAACAAACGGGTTGAGGAATAAAGAATATATCCCAGTCCCAGCTTTAACCTATAAATATCAGTGCTTCTCATTCTCGTTTATCACCAAAAGTTAAAAGCTCTCCACCCAACTTGTTAACAATCCTTTCTTCTCAATATTTAACAGACATGGCTATCACCACATTCACAGAAGAGCACACTTCCCCAGTCCCTCCATCAAGAATCTTTAAGGCCTCCATTGTTGACTCTCACAACTTAATTCCAAAGCTGATGCCACAAGCTATTAAAAGCATTCAGATCATCCAAGGTAATGGAGGAGCTGGGAGTATTAAGCAAATCAACTTTGCCGAAGGTTAGATGCAGTCTCCACTCACTCTTGGCATTAATACTTTTGGCAAAAAGATGAGATTTTTTTTAAAGAACCCTTTTTTACAGTCGAGGTGACTGGAAAAAAAAAGGTTCACATGTAAATTTTTCCGTTCAAATTGCACTAAAAGTCAATTTTAGCTTTATTCGAAAAGGGACCTTCCCCATCCTCTTCTTAATTTGGACCCCATGATCTACACAGGTGGTCACAGGAAAGATATGTAAGAAAAGAACAGTGGGTGGGGTGGGGTGGGGTGGGGTAGAAAGAAGGGCTTGTTTCATTTGCTCTCTCCAACATGTCCTTCCCTGATAATAAACCTAAAAGACAATATTTAAAGCTAAGAAACTGTATGTTCCATGCAGGTAGCAACTTCAGCTATGTGAAATACCATATTGATGAACTCGATGAAACGACATACACGTATAATTACACATTGCTTGAAGGTGGTGCCTTGACAGAAGGGCTTGAAAAGATCACGTATGAGATCAAGTTTGAGCCTGCACCTGATGGTGGTTCAATCAATAAGGTGACAAGCAAATACTACACTAAGGGTGATTTTGCGCTCAAAGAAGAGGAAATCAAGACAGGAAAGGAAAGGGTGTTGGCAGTGTACAAGGTTGTGGAAGCCTATCTCCTCCAAAACCCTAATGCCTATGTTTAGAGTTCCTGTTTTCAAATGTGATCTTCTCAAGTTCTTTATCAGTCTTTTGTTTGTATGGCACTGGCGTGTTCTTGTTTGACAATAAGGATCTTCCAATATATGATGAAGCAATAAGATATAATAACTTTTCAGAGCTTTCTTATGACTAGACTTTATTTTCTTCTTAATACAGTCCATCTCTTCAATCCATCTATCCTATAAAACATGTTAGGAATATTTCTTATGCTGCAAAATGAATGGAAATTGAATTGTTTATGATTCAAAAAAAGTAAATAGGATTAAGGAACCTCAATCCAAAAATAATTAGGATTAAGAGCTATTTTAGAGCATCAAAAATTATAATTTTTACTACACTGTTATTGCATATATGAAGATCTTATTTACCCCTTAGGACCAATAATTCTGAATTTTACAAAGCTTTAAATGCCCTCTTTGAAAAATGAAAAATAAGCAATGTCCTAGGTTTTGTTGACATCCAGAACATATCCACTACCGGGAAAAGAAGCGAAATTCACCAAAATCAGCTGTAGAAGTTTCTATTGATCAAGGGAAAAAAGAGTCAAGATAAGAGTTATACACTACAATAAATAAAGAGTCCCTAAATGCTGGTGGAGCAAACTAGCATGGTGGAGATGCCGTTCAACGAAGATTCACTAGGAACTCCTTTGAGCAAGATTGATGTTGCCATAAGAAACATGTTTAGAGCAGGATCAGGATCAGGGCTTGAATGCAGAAAAGGCCACGACAGAATTGTGTCCACCAAATCCAAATGAATTTGAAACGGCTGGATATGATCACACAAAGAAAAGTAAAGTAAATCATGAGGATCAGACTTATAATCAACATTTTCCTTTAATATTTGATAATCTCCACATAGAATAAGAGATAGGGTGGTTGGACATAGGGGCTGAGCCAGCCCGTCGAAGTAGGGGGGTCCCAAAGTTGAAGGCTGCCCCCGAAATTTTTTTAAAAAATATTATCCGTTAAAATGAGAAAAGTTGGTACTTTGTGATGGAGAAAAGAAACAAATGAACATAAATTAATGTACATTATTAACAAAAAAATCAAAAAATGTATAAAAGAAAGTACTAATCTTTAATCTAGCAAAATCATATCTTATTACAAGCGTTCCTTTCGAGTTTAAGTTTTTGGATTGGTAAGGTTTTAAATTTTTTATTCATTTGAGGATAAAACGGTAAATACAAAAAATAAAATTTTAAAATAAAAAAAAAATTGTCAAAAAATTGGGCGGGTCCCCCCCCAGGACCCCCCTGCCTCTGCCCCTGGTTGGACAAGTAAATTATCTTACCAACATTGACTTCATGCTGCTGCTTTTTGTTTGCAACAGTCTCAAACTCCACAGCAGGCTCGGGGTTCTGCATTAATAATTAGAACCCATTCATAATCTTGAACATCAAATTCATGGTTAAATGATTAAAAAATGTGAAACTGTAAGCCCTGACGAGCTGTACGTACTTGCACTGAAATTGTATGTTCAGGAAAAATATCAACCATAAAACTTGAATTTGAACTTACGAATTGATTTATGGTTGGATGCAGCCATCCCGTCGTAATGGCTTTCACTGTTGCAATTGCTTCCAGACCGCCAGCAGCCCCAAGACAGTGCCCTATCATCGACTGGGAGAAAATAGAAGTAAGAAGCTAAAAATGAACCGAAAATCGTCACCACTTAATTTTTTTAACTGGAATATTCAACTTCAAGGTATATATTCCACTCAAAAGTACAAGAAAAGAAATAGGTGTGTGTTTGTTTTAGAGAGAAAGAGAGGAAGTAGCAGAGGGAAGCTCACCTTAGTAGCATTCATTTTGATCTCTGAAGTGTTCTTGAAAACTTTCTTGATAGCATTTACCTCAGCTAGGTCACCTACTATGGTGGAGGTTGCATGAGCATTAATGTAGTTAACCTGAAAAGGAATATGGACTCCAACCCGTTAATTAATTGTGTCAGAGATTTACATATATTTGGACCCTAGAGAATTAAAATAAACGCACTTCTGACTCTAATGTAATAAGGATTTCATCTGCGGTACTGCAGGTGTGGAATGTCTAAGACCAAGTTTGATTTTCCTATTTGATGATTTCTCAGTTCACTTGAAAAATTATCTCAGTCATTCAATTGATCAGTGATCAGAAATATAAAAGCATTACAATGACATTCAAGTTCTTCTGGGACATTTCATGGTTTCCACCAGATCTTTGAAAGCTCTAATTCAGGAAATGAACTTCGATTCTTAGGAGTTCTCCCTCACTTTTGAACTTGAGGAACTAAATTTGGATGTGGTGAATGCATAACAAAAAGTACATCATGCAAAAGGGAGCAAGTACAGGGAGGGCATGCCAGAAAAGACAACAGATCAAGATAAGCAAATGAGTGGCATTGGTAAAGGGTGTCAGCATACATGGTTTATGTTGCATGGTTTAGTACTATGGAATGAAATATCGAGCACATTTTTCTTGGGTTGGGGTGTGGTCTCGTGTGATGGAATGCTATGAAAAAAGAAATACCTCCTCAGGTGACACACCAGCATCTTTAAGGGCACTCTGGATACATGACGAAACACCAAGTCCATCAGCTCTGGGATCAGTCATATGATAAGCATCACAATTTACTGCACCTCCCAAGTACTCTGCAATTATCGGTGCATCTCGTTTCACCGCATGATCCAAACTTTCCATCACCTGTTAAGAATGTTGAGGAATTTCTATTAGGAACTTTTTAACATCCATTTGAGTCTAAAGTCGTATGTAAACTCTAGAAGAAACAACCCTTTCTTTGGCTCAAATGATTGGCTAACAAACAAGCCAAGCTTACCAAAACTCCAGCACCTTCACCCATAACAAAACCATCTCGATCTTTATCCCAAGGCCTAGAAGCAGTTTTTGGATCATCATTTCTTTGAGACAAAGCTCTGCATGCAACAAAACCTCCCAATCCTATAGGAATAATGGCAGCTTCGGTTCCACCAGTGACCATTATATCTGCCTCACCTCGACGTATGTGATTTGCAGCCGCATAGAAGCAATAATTTGAGGTAGCGCAAGCAGTTGAAATCGAATAATTTGGCCCCATCAAACCAAGATCAATTGCAAGTAAAGCAGATGCCATGTTTGTTATAGCATAAGGTATGAAAAACGGAGTTATTTTCCTGTGACCTTTCTCTATTAGAGCCTGAACACCGTCAGAAAAAACTGTAAGACCACCCATTCCTGTTCCAACGAGAACACCAGCTCGAGCCTTATCAATCTGTGTTAATAAGACCAAGTAATTAAGAGGGAGTGGCTTACATCTTCAGAAGAAAAAAAAAACTAGAAGAAGAAGACAATACGTTAACAATTAGACCGATGGAAGCAGCAAAAACTTCTTGCTATACAAAATGAATTTTCCAAATTAGCACTGGATGCAAATTCAATAGATATCTGAAGATCAAACAGTAATGACTTCAATTCTAGACGGTGTGTCCTAAATTAATTCTCACTTTTGCAAAGAATGAGTACCTTTATAAAAAGCAAAAAGCACATCTTTATAATGAGTTCCAATCTGTTAACTAAGAGAGAAATCACTTTGTACTTTGGACACCAAAATAATACAAGAGTTAGCCATGTCGAACCTCATCTAAAGTTTAAGTAGACACTAGTACAATATTTCAATACCTTTTACTTTTAGCATTTAACCCAATACAAGAAGACCAAGCAAATATTCAGAAACAGCAAACTGAAAACAATGTTAAGTGATAAATTCTTCAAAATTCAGAACACCACAACTAAAACCATTTATTGCCTATTGTCTTTAAGTGTTTTCACCAATCTAAAACTGCTAATTACGAAATAATAACTCAAAATGTCAGCATTAAACCAAGATCAAGAACCCAATTAAGCACCAGGCCAACTCAAGAATCCAACAAAACTAATCATATAAATCTCAAAATTCAGCAAAATTAAGCTCGGAAAAAACCAAATACCTTGTCAAGTCTACCAAACCCAAGATCCGCATTTTCAAGAGCTTTTTTGCCAGCTACAATGCAGTATCTGAGACAATCATCCAGCCTCCGGTCGTTCTTCCCATCAATGTATCCCTCGGATTTGAAATCGCGAATTTGCCCCCCGAATCGCGTGGGGAATTTCGATGCGTCGAAGCGGTCAATTAGAGTGATTCCACTCTCTCCAGCAAGCAGTTTTTCATAGTATGCATTTACGTCATTGCCGAATACAGAAACGAGTCCCATACCCGTGATGACCACGCGTTTCTTGGGATCAGTCTCGCGTTTGGGGGCCGACACTGTAGAGGCGGAGGCGGATATGGCGAAAGGGAGTTTCTTGGGTGGCTTGGCATTGTGAGTGGGGAACAATGAGTAGGCGGTGGAAGGAGGTTTGCAAAGGGGGTCGAAAGGTGAGGTGCGGAAGACGGCAAATTGGGCGGCTTGCATGGTGCTGAAAGATCGGAATTTCGATGGAAACGATGCAGGGTGGGGTGGAAGTGAGGGGAGTTAAGGTTGTCGAAGTACACACTGTTATGAAGATGCAAACTCTGTGTTACGTATAACCTTAAAAAAATTGACTTGAATTGGTTTTAAAATAATTCATTTTTTTCGCATGATATCACTTAGAGAAGTTAGTAATCATTCTTACTACTGTGTTTTTCGAAAATGTGAGAAAGTAGTTAGTCCAGCAACACGATCGAGGGTCCTTTGACGTGATTTTCGAAAATGTGAGCAAGTAGTTAGACAAGCAACATGATCGAGTGTCCTTTGACGTGGTTTTCGAACAGTTACAACTTGCTTCTAAAACACATCTATATAATTTTTTGTAAGTGTTTTGTTTGGTTATAAAAGAACTTTTAAAAGAACACTTCTAAGAAACAGAAGCACCGCTAAATGTGCAATGAATAGAATTACGGTTTTCCTTTTTTTATTTAAAATTGAGTTTTACTTTTCTTGACATGATCATTTTGCTTTCCTTTTTTTCTGGCAAGAAAAGTGTTATTTTTCACAAATTAAAAGGGAAAATTCTGTTTTTTAGGAATATATTGGTAATCTAATTTATTGCTAGAGAAAAGTTCAACTGAGGAATTTATTGTTGGTTGTTGACCAATAAATGGTGAAGTAATATTTGTCTCTCTTGGATAGGTTAATCACTTATGGCATCACAATTTTTTATTGAGTAATGTTATTCATCTCCAGTGGGGATGAAAACGCAGTTTAGGTGGCTGTAAATGATAGGTGAAATGAAATGTGAAATTAATTTCACCTATCATTTAATGCCACATTAGCTCCACCTAAACTGTGTTTTCATCTCCAGTGTGGATGAATAGCATTACTCTTTTTTATTCTCTTCATTTTGCCTGTCCGTCAGTTCTATATGCATGCCTACGTGAAAAAAATAATTTTCTTTCTAAAATTAATTTTTTCTTATTATTTTAATTTAATGAAATTTGTATCTTATCAATTATCTATTTCATTAACTTTTATCAAAATCTATTAAAACCCTACTTTTTAACCAAACCAAACATGGGCTTAGCATTTAGTAAAGTCACACGATTCTTTTTAGCATATTTGGTGTAATTAGATTGAATTGCAATACATAATTTTAAGGGGAAAAAAGGGAAAAATGTTCAATTTTTTTTTTAATTATACCGTTTTGTCTCGTCTAATACAATGTATCAAATATGCACTGGGAGCTTTCAAGACACCGCGCCGTAACATGTTAGGTGTGTATTCATTATTCCTTTGCAACTTGAACCAAATAACAAGCAATGCATTACCAACCAACCTAGTTGAAGCCTTAGAAACAACCTATTAGTGGATGGGAACTTGGAAGTTGAACAGTGATGGATGCTAATTGTACAGAATAATGCTAAGTGTACACAATTTTTTACACAATCTTTTACACCTCTCTCACATGGAAGGGGGCCCACACATAATAAAATAATCGTGGACCCCCCTTCATGTGAGAGAGGTGTAAAAGATTGTGTAAAAGTGTGTGTGTACATGTAGCATTACCCATATTGAGTAATGTTATTCATCCTCAGTATGGATGAAAACACAGTTTAGGTGGCTGTAAATCACTTATTTAATTTCACCTATCATTTAATGCCACATTAGCTCCACCTAAACTGTGTTTTCATCCCCAATGGGGAACTTATCGTAATGAGAAAAAATAAGAGAAGTAAAACGGACAGGCAGTCAAGATATACGTACGGATGCACTTTTTTTATTAAAAGAAAGATTTTAATTAAAAAAGAATAATAAAATTAAATTACTTTAAACATAGAATAGTTACATCTATTTCATTAACTTTTATCAAAATCTATTAAAACCTTACTTTTTAACCAAACCAAACATGGGCTTAGCGTTTAGTAAAGTCACACGATTCTTTTTAGCATATTTGGTGTAATTAGATTGAATTTCAATACATAATTTTAAGGGGAAAAAAGGGAAAAATGTTCAAGTTTTTTTAATTATACCGTTTTGTCTCGTCTAATACAATGTATCAAATATGCACTGGGAGCTTTCAAGACACCGCGCCGTAACATGTTAGGTGTGTATTCATTATTCCTTTTCAACTTGAGCCAAATAACAAGCAATGCATTACCAACCAACCTAGTTAAAGCCTTAGAAACAACCTATTAGTGGATGGGAACTTGGAAGTTGAACAGTGATGGATGCTAATTGTACAAATTAAATGAGAAATGGTTGACATATTTATAAAAAAACCCTATATTAGTTTTAAATTGAGTGGTAAGTACAGAAAAAAGATAAAAAAAAAAAAGCAGAATTTTCCTTCCTCTTTTCATCCATTCATTATTATCCACCCAAATTTTCACCATTCATTATTATCCACCTAATTTTTCACCATTCATTATTCAGTGGTCAAATTATGGTAAAAAGACATTCTACCACCATGCATTGATTCCTTCCCCATTTGCCTTAGGTAGATTTCAAAGGTCAGGTGACGTAGTCACAACCCTGATAGGCGGCGGAGGAGGACGAGGAGACGGGTCGGCATCTTTTGGTGGAAGAAACCCATAGATAAAGGGTAGAATGGCACAAGACTTACTCGATCTTGATAAACTAAACAAGACCATATTGTGTTACGCTGAGACAGTTTACCGGATTAATGGCGTTTGGGAAGGACCTGATCCATTGACACCCTTTATACCTCTCTTCTTCATTCAGATAACCCTTGCCATCATGTTTACCCGTCTTCTCGTCTTCGCCCTAAAACCCTTCAATCAACCTTCTATTGTTGCAGAAATTCTCGTAAGTATATTTTGGTTAGATACGTATTTGTGCATGTGTACGTGATATATACTTGATGTTATTCGTGAACTCGATTTTGAAAAATGCTACATTTTGAAAGTGCCATACAATTTTAGCTCAATGAATTCTGATTATTTGATTCAATGCATGCATATTTACATCAAAGGAAAAAATAGTGTGTGAAAGTCACAATACCTCATTGCTAATTGACGAAATACTGATAATGTTGGTGTAGAGTGGTATAATTCTGGGGCCTTCTGTATTTGGAAGAAACAATGGATTCAGAAAGCTGATATTCCCAAGTTACACTTATAAAGTGTTGGAGCCAATGGCACATTTGGCCCTTGTATACTATGCCTTCCTTGTGGGATTAAGAATGGACATAAAAGCAATTCAGCGCACTGGATCCAAGGCTGTTAACATTGCTGTAGCTGGAACTATAATCCCTTTCTCTCTAGGTTCCGTCTTATATTTCGTCTTCCAAGGTGATAGAGCAGGTTTCATCTTCTGGGGGGCTGCCCTTACTGTCACCGGCTTCTCGGTTCTAGCAGAAATTCTTGAAAAGCAAGAAATAACCAACACTGAAATTGGTAAGACAGCCATGGCCTCGGCCCTAATAAACGACGTTTGTGCATGGTGTTTCTTAGCACTCGGGTTTGCCATCACTGGCTCCCCCAGAAACATTCACTGGTCATTGCTATGTACCATTGTTTTTGTACTACTCAGTGTCTATTATATCCGACCCTGCCTCAAGTGGGTCATCCGAAAAACACCAGAAGGACAAGGATACAGTGAGTTCTATATATGTTCAGTGCTCACTGGAGTTGCTTTCTCTGGAGTCATCACTGATGCATGTGGAACACACCCCATGGTTGGTGCCTTTGTCTTTGGACTTGTGATACCTAGTGAAGTTCTTGAAGCTGCATTGATTGAAAGGCTCGAAGACTTTGTCGTGGGAATTTTTATGCCGGTGTTCTTCATGGTTTGTGGGCTGAGAACTAATGTTGATACAGTCTCTGACCAAACTTCCTGGATCGTGGTGGCATTTGTTATAATTTTAGCCTGCACTGCCAAGATTCTGTGCGCTCTGACCGTTTCCCTCTTCAGTAACATTCCAGCTAAGGAGGCAATTGCAGTGGGAATATTGACTAACACCAAGGGCGCCATGGCAATGATCATCCTTGAAGCTGGTCAAACACAAGTGGTACTTTCTCTAACTCTATTCAGATAAATATACTTTAATACATGAATATATATGAAAGTTACCAACTTTCATTGCTAATGGCAATCTGTAATCATCTTCGTTTTAACCAGGCTCTAAACACGCAAACATACTCAGTAATGGTGATTGCAATCCTGTTAATGACGATGGTTGTCATGCCTGCAACAATCACATATCGTCCATCAAAGAATTTGGTACCATATAAGCGCAGGACGATAGAGAAGGCAAAATCAGATGAAGAGCTCCGAGTTCTTGCATGTATTTACAATACACGTAATATCCCTTCCATTATTAACCTTCTCAGGGCTTCAAATGCCACAAATAGATCCCCTATAAGAGTTTTTGCTCTCCAACTAGTTGAGCTCGTTGGACGCGCCACTGCTAGTCTGGTTGTCCATAGCACGCACAAAGTGGGCCCCAGAAATCCCAGCAACGTAGAAGCACAAGCCGATCATATTATAAGTGCTTTTGACAACTATGAACTACAATCAGATGGCGTTACCACCCAGGCACTCACTGCCCGGTGTGCTTACTCCACCATGGATGAAGATATTTGCAATGTTGCCAAGGACAAGCGTTCAACATTCATAATTATTCCATTTCACAAGCAACGAACTCTTGATGGTGAAATGGAGGATATTAATCCTGCCTTTCGGAGTGTTAATGAAGGCGTACTAGAAAATGCACCTTGTTCTGTGGGTATATTGATTGATAGAGGACTTCAAGAGTCAAATGATCACGCACACAATATTGCCATGTTGTATTTTGGTGGTCCTGATGACAGGGAGGCATTGTCTTATGCTTGGAGAATGGCAGAAAATTCAGATATCAGCCTAACAGTAGCAAGGTTTACCCCTAGTAGTAATGCAGATGAACTGGATCCTGTAGAACTCGTTGCAGAAACCCACATGACTTTGCAAATTGACAGTGAGAGAGAGACCTTGCTGGATGAGGATTACCTGAATAAGTTCAAGACTGCAACTGCAAATGACAAATCAATAATATACATTGAATTGATGTTAAATGATGAAGAAGAAGCTGTTAATGCAATAAAATCAATGGATGAACGCAATCACGATCTTTATATTGTAGGAAAAGGAACAGGCATTAGGTCACCTTTGACAGCAGGGCTAGCCGACTGGTGTGACTGTCCAGAGCTGGGGCCAATTGGAGATCTTCTAGTCACATCAGAATTTGAGTCTGCATTTTCAGTGCTGGTGGTGCAGCAATACATCAGGTCAAACAAGAGGGATGGATCAGAGAGTTCTGCAAGCTCAGTGGACTATAGGCAAGAGATGGAACTGAGGCCGTCAGTGAGTGAAAGCGATGGATTTGAATCCATCACCAGTCTCACGACAAGAGATCAAAATAACCGAATGGCTTTACAGGATTAGGTTTTCCGCATCATTTCAAAAATGTGTATGTTAGCTTCAGATTTTGTAAGACAATTTCCTTGCGCTTCAAAAAGATACTATATAAATTGTCTCTTCTAGCTATAAAAGATTCATAAAAAATCATGTGAACTAGTAAGGTTTAACAACTTAAGCTTCAGAGGTAAGTAACTCTGCCGCCTAAGAATTCCTGTTGCAATTTTAGTCAAAAAAACCCAATCAGAAGTTCAACGAAGAGTGAACCCTGCACTCCCATTTTCCAACATTGGGCATTGGCAAAATATATTCTCCATAAATACAGATATAAAAATAGTGACATTACATAGTTCTATATAGTTAATGGTCACTTGAGAAATTATTAGTTATTTCGAAATACACATGCAAGAGGGCGTAAACAGAACGTTAATTCTTGGAGATCTGCCTGAAGGTTGAAGTTGAGCGCATATGCTAATGAAGCTGGAATGTCACTTGGAACAGAGAGTTGTATGTTTAGATGAACCTTATGAATGACCTGATTTATTGATACAAACAACTTAACCAACCCAGGAATTCGCCATGTTATTTGAATAGGCACAATATTGAGATACAGGCCAGGCAAAACAGAATGGACAAGTATAATAAAAGCTAGCATATGAAAGAGTGAATTCACTTTAACAAAAAATGAAGTTGAGATATAACAACAGCTTTGTCCTTAGAGATCAAATCACTCTCTAATCTGATCTATCATATTCTATGTAAGGGTATAGAAATGCAGGTCAAAGCTGTCAAATGTTAGATCAATACAAGTTGAAGACAGTGGAGCATGTCCAGATAAATATCGATTATCTTGAAAGATAACCATCATGCAACATGGGTAGCAACTCGTAGATACTTCAAAGTTTAGACAGATCTGCAATCTGAAAATCACCTATTCACTGAATCTTCTTAAGAGTGTTGACACAAGTATAGCTAGAAAAAGACATCAAAAGCTTACGGAACCATCAATAAGAACCGACAAATGAGAAGAAATCACAATATATTTCAAACCAGTAACAAAAACTTATCAATCTAATTCTCTTTCTAACTCTTTCCAAACCTAATCTCGTCTAAGCCCATCTCCCCACCCCACCAAGATCACCCTACTGTCCCAAAATTAATAAAAGAAGGCCATGAAATCTTTTCCATTAGTCTTGATTTTGTCAAACAAGAGGGATGGACTTGAGTATGCAAACCAAATCCATTGACTTCTGTGTTGAGCTATTGCAGCATAGGTCTTACTAAGATCATCATTGAGCAACCAATGTAATTGTCTACTTGAAAAATACTAGGCAAATAACTTGGATAACCAGATATCAATTGGTCCACTATACTTGTGGAATATGCTTGTACTCACCTGAAAATGATAAAAATAATAGCCATGGTTTAGGAGCCTAAAAGTATAAATGAAGTAGAATAGGAAGTCACGTGTTCTGGTTTCCTCCCTCCCAAAAGGAGAATTTTCAAATCATGTACTGTATATTGACAGTCATCGAATTGGCGAACATCTGAAGCCAGAATGAGGACAGAGTGAGACAAAGAATAACTTACAAGCTCCCAAGCTCCCAAGCTTCGAGACGTCTTTCTGAAAGAAAGAACCTAATTAAGAACCGTGCTACTTGTACAACCTCGGTTGACAACCACTCACACATGGGATGAGTGGGTGGGTAATTTTTTTATTTTTTTAAACACAGTGGGACCCACCACTGTGAGAGATTATCGAACAATGCTTGGTGTACAATGATTTTGACATCATTGTTGACAACATGTCACGTGGCATGTTATCATTTGGCAGTTTAAAAAACAATTCATCATTTCAACCAATACTTCTTTACCACAACCAACATTGTCAACAATGTTGTACAAAAACATTGTACAAATAGCATAATTCGAGATTATCAACCTCGATTGTACAAGCGGTATTTCCCCTAATTGATTATGTTTCTTAGTTTGATGTTACCAGCAACTGTTACAACTAATTTTAAAGGGCAACGTGTTTTAGGAATCACTACATGATTGAATTGTGTAGATACGTTAGAACCTTACTAATCATAAATCCACATAAAATAGAGAAGTAACAAATACATTTCTGTCACTGTAAAAAGAACAGACAAATATCGGTCATTTAGCAAATGAAATAGTTCATGTCTAACCTTGTCATCACACTAAAGTCCAAATGTTAGAGTGATAAGCTTAACCCACTTATTTGTATGAAGGATTTATTTTCTTTTGTGTATAAATTTTTTTTAAAATTTATCGTAAATTTTGTTTGGGTCAAATATTTAAGTATTATAGAAGTTGATAAAATATATCAAATATTATACTCAAATGTAGCTCGTGTTAAATAATATAAATTGGGCTTAAGAAAAATTAAATTTGAACTAGTTATGTCCAATTTATTTTAATAAAAAGAAAAGTGTTATCCTTTAATATATTATTAGCATATATATATATATGAAAATAGATTATAAAAAAAAAAAAAAAAA